TCCCTACACCTGTCTACTTCTGTCATCAGTTCTGAATGGAAGAGTAAATTCTATGTCAACTTTTAATTAAAGATTTACACATATATTTCACTCCTTTTAGGCCCTGGAAAATGTGACTATGAACAAAACTTGATATTCAGAAACACGAGATAGATTTGTAACATTTCTGCTTTCTGTATCCTTTGAGTAATTCTTTATCTTAAAGACTTTAATAGTTCTGCATAACATTTTTATACACCTCTGGTACATTGTAGATACCCTCACATTTGCTCAGAAGGAAAAAAAACAGTTAATATATATAGGATATCAGACCTGCCTCTGGATTTGTGCTACTAACTGCAACCAGAGGCATTTAGTCAGCCAACTAATTGATATGCAGCAGCAAATATGAGTTTTTGCACATGCCAAACTACATGTTCAGGTTAAAGGCAAATGAGGCCAAATCATCCACGTGAAGCTCAGATAATTTGTTGGAAAACGACTTCAGAGGCCATTTTTATATACAGGCCATAAAATAAAATATAAAGTCCAATTTTCCCTGTAAAAGTTTGATCATAACGAATTTATCTCTGCCAATATCCTCACTGCTTGGATATAAAATACAATTTACTCTGACACAGAAAACATGGCCTGGAGATGTCCTCAAAAAAACAGTTAGACTGGCTTATGGACTAGCTGATCAGTTGTAGGCATTATTAAATGATGATAAAACTAAGAGACATGGTTTCATTATAATAATCTTCACACGTGAAAAGAAGTGAAAACAAATGCTTACTGCTTAATCTTTTCTTATTCACTGTGAACATTCTACTGGCAATTATCATGATATTGTATAAATAAGTGTACTAACTAAATTGATGAATTTATAACTGTACATTTTAAATGTCTGAATCTCATCAAAAAATTAAACCAACAAGTCTTAATTTAGATTTTAGAAATGTTGTAAAGGAAAGAAACACCATAATCACACTTGGCCAAACTCCAATATGGTTAATTATACTCTGCATATATAACTATATACCTTTGCTGAATTAATTGGATAAGGTATTCTTATTTCCTTCTTGCTGTGCTGTGTAGTATTGCTGATGTTGTTATAATGGCTGCTGTATCCTACCCCAGAGCTGATGACTTTTCTGTGTTGAATGAGGTAACCTTTTTATCTACATATAGCCTGCTTTTGTATTGTTTTCCATTTATCAAATGCAAGATCGGATTTATTATTTGATAAAATACATTAAAGCTTTAGAAATGCACTGTACAGAATAAGTAATTCATAATAATCAAAAGTAACTAAGGATATGTCAAATATATGCTGGTAGAACAAATATTACCTTTCCCAGTGGCTACACACATTTGGATCTTCAAGATTTAAGGAAAAAGTTGTCCCAATCCAGTGGTGCAGTAGTATGACCGGGAAGCATAAAACAGAATTTAAATAAAGAACCATCTTTTTGAATAAATGACCTGTAAGAAAAAACATGATTATATTATGACAATATTCAAACTATAAATATAAGGAACTTTGGTGAAACTCCATTAGTAACACCAAGCTGGACCAAATTATATAGGACAGCAAGCATTTAATAGTGAGACAAATTATAATAGTCCTGTAGCAGCAGTACAAGGTTCACCTTAATAAAACTCAAGTCCAGAAACAAATATGAATGTGCTAAATGGCATCAGGCAGATGCATACACTAAGTGATTTCACTGTCAAGTGGAACTGTAAGCAGGCTCAGTATACTCTCTGCTTGTTGTCTGAAAAGTTGTAAGTTGTTGTATATCCACTTACAAAATGGATATACAATTTAAAGCAATTGGTCTTATTTGTTCAAGGGGTGCTGGTGGTCATATGTAATTGGTTAAGCTTTGCCAGAAATCCTGCTCATCACTTGTTTACAGAATACCTATAGTAATAATGTTTTTAATTTTATAATGCCTCAATTTAATGAAACTAAGAAGACTTTCTGAAAACCCATCATGGAGCAGATTTGCAAACACCTCATCTTATGTAGTGTCTTTCATAATGTATACAGTACAAACTTTTTCATCTATCTACTTATAAATCCTTCCTCATTCTGTGTGAATGCTTCACTATCCTTAGTGAATGTTAGAATTATAAAACTTATATGAGAGAGAGCCCTGGCAGGACATAACGAGCCCAGCTGAGGGTTGCCAGGGTAATGGGCACAGCTGCGGGTTGCCGGGGTCACTAAGGAGAGCCAGCTGCCTGTGGGAGGCAGGGCCTGGCCCTTATATAGCCCAGGGCTGAGGCCAGGTTGGCAGTTCCCTGCCAGCAGCCAGAGGTTGGAAGTGAGAATCACAGGAACTGCTCTAGCTGAGTGAAGGATGGCAGCTCTGAGAGGTTTGAGCATCATGGTTCTGCCAGGAGGCTTTGCGTTTGAGTAATAGCCAGGAGGCTCGAGTTTGTTTGGCTTTGATATTACACCGGTGGTTTGGGTGAGGCTGTAGGGGTTGGAGGAGGCCTCATAGGGGGCTCACGGTAAAGTGAGGACCCCGGTGCCAGTGAGGGTGCACTAGGCCCTGAGAGTTGCAGGGCAGAGTCATGGGGTCAGTTAAGCTCAGAGAGGAGTGGCTGAACCTCATAAAGGGCCCCATGAGAGTGTGGGGGCCCCAGTGCCTGAGGAGGGTGCAGTGTTCTCATAGGGACCTACAGAGGGTGGGACCCTAGTGCCAGTGAAGGCGCAGTATTTGCAGGGGGAACCCCAGTGACATGGGAACCCTGGTGCCAGTGAAGGCGCAGCTTGCAGTGAGGAGCGCAACCAGTGGGTTGCAGGTGGGGAACATAGACCCCGGGTTGTGTGCGGGGTACGTAGACCCCAGCCCCAGAGAGGGGCAGCTTTGAGATGCCCCAGCGTGGGCACGACGAACCCCACAGAGGGGCCCACCTTATTAGGAAGCCCTGTAGGGGCACAGCAAGCCCTAGAGAGGGGGCAATATTATTAGGAGGCCCAGTGCGGGCACGGTGAGCCTCTGAAGAAGGGCTAGTGCTGTGACAAACCCCGGAGCAGGGTAGAGTGCTGCGGTTGCCCCGGTGAGAGGGGATAGTGGCATGGTGAGCCCTGAGAGAAGGGGGGAGCAGTGCAGTGGGCCCGAGAGTCAGGGGGTGTTGCCGGGAAGTCCCCAGAGTGGGTGCAGAGAGCTCCAGATGGGGGGGCTGTATTTTAGAAGCCCGAGTTCGGGCAACATTGCAGGGAGAGCCCCAGGAGGGGGCACTATTGCAAAGGCCCCAGAGAGGGGGCAACATTACAGAGAAGACCCCCAGAGAGGGGCAACATTCTAGGGAAGTCCAGAGTGGGCTTGGAGAGCCCAAGAGAGGGCAACATAGAAGAGGAGGCCCCAGAGAGCGGGTGAGGGTACATAGAGGAGGCCCGAGAGACAGGCCAGGTACATATAGAGAGACATACCAGTGTCTATCCCATCTGCGAGGCTTGGGGCGTGGTATTAGGGGTTGGTAGGAGCCACACATAGCCCATAAGGCTAGGGTGTCTGGGGAGCACCCATCATACCGGGAGACCCCCAGGGGGTCCGGGAACACACGGGGACAGAGGTCCCAGCTAACCGTGCCCAGGGAGTCGTAGGCAGCCTCCCAACGGCAGCCTCCCTAACGTATTTGAACATCAAAGACATGGCAGGCAAGAATTTGAGGGTGCCCTTGGGCCGACTTGGCACGGTGAGGGGGCCATAGGGAGATCACAGCCCTCCTGACGGACCCCGCTGTGACACCTCCAATAATTAGATTTGATACCTGGAAAATTATAACAAATTTATAAAATGTCCACATATAAAACTTAATTACTGAGGGGTCATCTTATATTCAGCATCATCTTATATTCAGGTAAATATGGTATATTTGCACATAACTTATGGTGTAGGGATAAATCAGATTTTCAAACTAGTTTATTATAATACTTATTTATTATTATTATTATTATTATTACTTACTAGTCTACCTGAAATGAAAAGCAGAACTTTAAACATTTTGTTATAAATTAAAAAAAAACATACTATGTTACATTAAAAGAAAAAATAGCATTGGAACATGAAAGAAGCAAAATGAAAAAACACAGACAAAAATACAGCACATTTTATTCTTAACAACACAAAATAAATGCACAAGTTGTTTAAAATCATGATTAAAAACTCTCTAAAATAATGCTCATTTGAAGAAAGTGTGAAGCAGAGATGACCCAATTTTGCAAAATCCCCTTTCAAAATTGACTGAAAGATATTTCATGCTCTATGTTTATACACATCCATGTCTTTCTGTATGTTTGTAGTATACCAGGTATTCAACGTGGAGTTCAACTTAAAAAGGAATAAAAGCAGCTGTATTTTCAGATTAATAATTTCAATAAAGTAGTGATTTCCCTCAGTAAAATAGACACTTTGATTAATTATGTAGGCTGTAAATTGTGGTTTGTTGTTTTTGTTTTTTTTTTTTTTTTTTAAGGAAAAATTCAATAACTTTTCCTTTTGGATACATTTAACAAAATTTAAAATGTAGAAGAAAAAAAATCATTTGCATGAACCCCCTAGTGTAAAACTTGATTGCATTCCAGATCTTTTGCTTAATTATTCAGGAAAATCAAAACAGAAAATCAGTAAAACTGATTAGCATTGCTAAAGTGTTTATATTAGCAATAAAAAGTAGATGATTTGTTTAACTCTTGCTTTGTACTACTTGCACTGATGTATGCTGCTCAAAGATTCACCTTCCTTACTGTATTTACCTACAAACCTTTCAGCAGGTAATATATATCAGCATTCTTGCAGTATCTCCGCTATCCATTATCTACATATATCATACAGATGGACTAAGAGCATGTCTTCTTTCTGTGTCAATAATTAGCAAAGTGCATGGTAATAAACAGCTCATGCAAAAATAGAAAGATGATCTGACCTCATACAGCTTTTTGTTTAATTCATACCCTTGATGTTGTAAACACTTGCTACAAGCATAAACATTTTCTACCGTGAGCAGAACCATTGACCTTAAGAGGAAAGAATTTCAAAGAGGGGAAGAATGGCTTCCAAATTAATCATTTTCAGCATCATGCTTGGATACTTAGGAAAAAAACAAGAAATTTGTCACAGCCTATCTATAACCACATAACTAATGGTCTAAGATGATGTAAAGGGCATATGTAAGTAAGCAAATTAAACTTTATAATCAATTTGATTGGTAACCAACAGAATAAAACTCTTGCAGCACAGAAGTCTACTTTCATCTGTTCTGAAGGCCTGACTACAACCAAAATTAAATTAATTTGGCTATAGTAATAATACCTGTATCAGCATCATTTTTTCTTTGAAAGAAAAGATAGGCTGAACAATAATGATTACATAGTTTGCAATAAGAATGTTCAAATATGATTATCCCTTATCATTTTTTATTAATATTGAAAGCAAAAACCCAGGTTTACAAACATCATTATTCTCATTCAAGCAGTACATCTTTAAAGTAATGCACTCACAATCTAGTGCCTGATCCAAAGCTTATTCAAGTCAGTGATTCACACTGATATCACTGGACTTTAAGCCTGGTCTAAAAAAGTAAGGGGAATATGATGCTACCACCTGAAACTGCAATAACCTGTTCTGTCATTTATGTCACCAACATAAAAAATAGTACCAAATCTATAACCAAAAACAGATGTTTTAACCTATTTATAAAAACAAATAACAAAAAAACTAATAAGAATGTGGGAAGTTACTTCTGAACATCTCAGAATGCTTTAAAATTATTAACAGACAAATTTTAAGATAGGAACAAAACCTAACTCTCACACACACACACACACACACACACACACACACACACACACACACACTATACATCCTATACAGTTACTATAGAAACAGGTTGAGCAGATCTCATAACTGTACCAGAGTTAGAGTGTTAGCCAATGCCTCATTTGCCCATGCAAATCAGGAATTTGTAGGCACTGCCACTGCACTCGCATTTAAGTGGGGTTGGAGCAAATCACAGAATCATAGACTCATAGAGAAGTAGGGCTGGCAGTTGACATTGAAGTTTATTGCTCTCGGGCACAGCATTAACATGTGCACCCGGGACTGCAGCTCATTGAGCCAGGGCAGTGTAGCCTCAGCTTGGGGGGAAACCGAGGGTCAGCCTGCCAGCCCTCCAACCTGGCTCAACATGCTGCAGACGGGCTGGCTGGAGCGCAGAAGTGCTTCAGTACCGGGCTAGCTGGCAGGCAGCCACCGCACTGAAGCACCCTCATGCTCCAGCCAGCCCTGTCGGCATCTACAAGTGCAATTTTTGCCAGAGTAGTGAGGTTAGCACAAGTGTTTTGACCAAGTCCCATATTGTTGGGACCTAGGGCAGCCAGCCAGCAGCTCTCCCTGACTCCCACCCGGGCAGTTAAGGGTCCGTCAGGCGGGTACTTGTGATGCATGGAGTGGAATTAATTAGGCGGA